TATTTGTAGTATTTATTGTGTTTAAATTACTTGTTTTATTAAGACTGCTTGTTCTACTGTTGATATGTGTGTTGGTGTTATTTGTTGTATTAGTAATATTGTTGTACTAATTAAATCTGTTCTATTTGTAGTACTTATTGTGTTTAAATTACTTGTTTTATTAAAACTACTTGTTCTACTGTTGATATGTGTGTTGGTGTTATTTGTTGTATTAGTAATATTGTTGTACTAATTAAATCTATTCTATTTGTAGTATTTATTGTGTTTAAATTACTTGTTTTATTAAGACTACTTGTTCTACTGTTGATATGTGTGTTGGTGTTACTTGTTGTATTAATAATATTGTTGTACTAATTAAATCTATTCTATTTGTAGTATTTATTGTGTTTAAATTACTTGTTTTATTAAGACTGCTTGTTCTACTGTTGATATGTGTGTTGGTGTTATTTGTTGTATTAGTAATATTGTTGTACTAATTAAATCTATTCTATTTGTAGTATTTATTATGTTTAGATTACTTGTTTTATTAAAACTATTTGTTCTTTTTTGATATGTGTGTTGGTGTTATTTGTTGTATTAATAATATTGTTGTTCTACTTAAATCTGTTGTATTTGTAGTACTTATTGTGTTTAAATTACTTATTTTATTAAAACTATTTGTTCTGCTGTTGATATGTGTGTTGGTGTTATTTGTTGTATTAATAATATTGTTCTTCTACTTAAATCTGTTGTATTTGTAGTACTTATTGTGTTTAAATTACTTGTTTTATTAAGACTACTTGTTCTACTGTTGATATGTGTGTTGGCGTTATTTGTTGTATTAGTAATATTGTTGTACTACTTAAATCTGTTGTATTTGTAGTACTTATTGTGTTTAAATTACTTGTTTTATTAAGACTGCTTGTTCTACTGTTGATATGTGTGTTGGCGTTATTTGTTGTATTAGTAATATTGTTGTACTAATTAAATCTGTTGTATTTGTAGTACTTATTGTGTTTAGATTACTTGTTTTATTAAAACTATTTGTTCTACTGTTGATATGTGTGTTGGTGTGCATTTGTTGTATCAATAATATTGTTGTTCTACTTAAATCTGTTCTATTTGTAGTACTTATTGTGTTTAGATTACTTGTTTTATTAAAACTATTTGTTCTTCTATTGATATGTGTGTTGGTGTGCATTTGTAGTGCCAGTAATATTGTTGTACTAATTAAATCTGTTGTATTTGTGTCACTGATATACTGGTGATAAACGTGTGGTTGTAGAATCGTCAGTACCCGCATATTCCTAACAGTATTACTTTTATTCACTAAACCAGATTGTGTAACTAGGCTGTGTGTGTAACTAGGCTGTGGGTCAACGCATATATTTTGATGTCATTTAAACGTTAATGTATTAAGGTAAAAAGAACCTTCAAGTTTTACTGATTCACTTATAGTTTATACTATAATTCACTGTAATTCGGCCTTTACAAATTTAAAAACTAGAAAGAAAGAATAGTATATAACTTATGTATAACACGCGGAAATATCTTTTATTTGTTTGTTTTTAAGCACAAACCTACACAAATGGGCTATCTGTGTTTATTTTCGCATTATCAGCCTTGAGACTTACCGCTGAGCTGCTGGGGGGAGGCAATGTTTTCAAAATATTTAAAGCTATAAATCAAATGAAATGTAAATTGTTGGTTTCATTTTGTAAAATCATCCAAAAAGAAGACGACAAAGTTCAATAGAGATTTGTTATTCAGCTTAGCTTGACGACAAAGTTCAATAGAGATTTGTTATTCAGCTTAGCTTGACCACAAAGATCAATAGAGATTTGTTATTCAGCTTACCTTGACGACAAAGTTCAATAGAGATTTGTTATTCACCTTAGCTTGACGACAAAGTTCAATAGAGATTTATTATTCAGCTTAGCTTGACCACAAAGTTCAATAGAGATTTGTTATTCACCTTATCTTGACGACAAAGATCAATAGAGATTTGTTATTCACCTTAGCTTGATGACAAAGATCAATAGAGATTTGTTATTCACCTTAGCTTGACCACAAAGTTCGATAGAGATTTGTTATTCAGCTTAGCTTGACGACAAAGTTCAATAGAGATTTTTTATTCAGCTTACCTTGACGATAAAGATCAATAGAGATTTGTTATTCAGCTTAGCTTGCCCACAAAGTTCGATAGAGATTTGTTATTCAGCTTAGCTTGACGACAAAGATCAATAGAGATTTGTTATTCACCTTATCTTGACGACAAAGTTCAATAGAGATTTGTTATTCAGCTTAGTTTGGCGACAAAACTGAATAGAGATTTGTTATTCAGCTTAGCTTGACGACAAAGATCAATAGATATTTGTTTTCAGCTTAGCTTGACGACAAATCAATAGAGATTTGAATAACAAATCTCTATTGAACTTTGTCGTCAAGCTAAGCTGAATAACCTTTGTCGTCAAGCTATGCTGAATAACAAATCTCTATTGATCTTTGTCGTCAAGCTAAGCTGAATAACAAATCTCTATCGGACTTTGTCGTCAAGCTAAGCTGAATAACAAATCTCTTTTGATCTTTATCGTCAAGCTAAGCTGAATAACAAATCTCTATTGATCTTTATCGTCAAGGTAAGCTGAATAAAAAATCTCTATTGAACTTTGTCGTCAAGCTAAGCTGAATAACAAATCTCTATTGAACTTTGTCGTCAAGCTAAGCTGAATAACAAATCTCTATTGATCTTTATCGTCAAGGTAAGGTGAATAACAAATCTCCATTGATCTTTGTCGTCAAGCTAAGCTGAATAACAAATCTCTATTGAACTTTGTCGTCAAGCTAAGCTTTCAATAGAGATTT